CCAATCTAATCCTCTCTATTCAAATCCCTGCGAAGATGCAGCCACACGTCGGGAAAGGATGGCACCGGACGATAACCGCAACTCGCACCCTTCAAAATCACTCAATTCCCCCGTATAGTGCATCCGCAGTGGAGCTCCAGAGTTTTCCACAGGCCGGGGCGAGTTGCACGGGGACTCCACAAAAAGTTGTCGCCGCTGATGCAAGTTTTGTTCTTGCTGCGGTGGTGGTCGCTGCGACGGTGGGACCGTGTTTGTCATTTGCGAAGAAAGGGGTGGTGGGGGTGGTGTCGGCGTCCGCGACACGGCGATGGACTGTGGTGTGAGCCTTTCCAAGCTGTGGCGTGCACTCAGTTCAGGTGTCTGTTCTACTTCCTGCAGCGGAGCGAGCGGCGCACGCCACGATGGAATTATTGCTGTACTTGCGGCTCGACTAAAATCTGTTGAACTGATGGTGGACTGCGCAAAGCTGACGGAAGGCGCACAACTGCCGGATGTGGCGAGACTTCCCGTGCAAGACGGTCTCGACCCCACTCCAGCAAAAGGACATATGGGCTGCGTTTTGTGCATCAACATTCTTCCACTATTACCGGCGTTCGTGTCACCAAGAAACAGCGGCGCACTGTTCCCTCCCTCACGTCGCTGCACCCCTCCAAGTACGGTTAGGACTGGCACTGGTCTTGGCGGAATGCCAGCTGCAACAAGCATTTCGTGCATGGATTCCCAAATCTCAGCCATCTTCTTGACAATTGATTCCTCCCAGGCAGCGATGGCTTGGGCAAGTTTCGCCGCGTTGTTATCCACCTGCCGCGCATTGTTCTCAAGAAGCCGACAGAGATTTTTCATCACACGGCTCAACTCTTCCAACATGAGAAAATTCTTTGACTCTCCAGCCATTTCTCCCCTCATTATTTGTGTTGTATGCCGCTGTCGGCTTCGTGAATCACAACACGGTGTGCTGAGAATGAGACGATGCATCTCCTCGGCACCAACAGAGCCTGCTCTTCGCAATACGGTTTCAATGGGATTTCCTGCATCTTCATGCTGCCGCCGACGAATCGCCGTTCGTGCCATCTCCGCATGTGCCTCTACCTTTAATGCTATAACACGCATTGATTGAAGAAAAGGTTCCTTTAAGGTATTACACTCTAATGTACGCTGCTCAATATCCTGGGCAGCCGACCGGACGGCACCTCGCACACTTTGTCGAACGTCTTCCAGGCATTCTGCAGCCCGGTGAACCAACAGAGCAACCTCGCGATCGCCATCCATACGTCGGATCTCGTCCTTCAACCCACTGACCTCCGCTTGCGCCCGTGTTAGTAGCCGCTGAGATTGGGCATATTCCCGGCTGGCCCGCTCCACCTCCTTCTGAAGGCCATCCATTTGTCTCCCACGATCATGGGCATTCCGCACAAGTTTCCCAAAGACATGCACCGCCATCTTCTCGTATTCGCCAATGCGCTGCTCCGTTTTTCCCACATAGCTTAAAATGAGGGTAAGTTTTGCTTCCAACTCCTCCGTAAAACCATTAACAACCGCCTGAAGGGTCTGCTTGAAGTGATCATGACGCCGTTTCTCCTCGCGCCTCCAGAGTGCCATACAGTCCGTCACCGTAGACTCTAGCATGGACATTGTAAGCAAAGTGGCATTCGTCAACTGTCGTGACGGTTCAGGTGGCGACTGCAGCTCCACAGTAACTTTCCCTCGCGCCCCCTGCGGAGAAAACTCAAGCATGGAATTAACCTCCTCATTCGTCGCGGCATCCGCTGAACGCAGCGCCTCGCTCATTGCCTTAACAACAGCGCTATGAGTTACCAATGGCTCCGTATATAGAGGCAATTCTGGCCTTTCTTTTACCCGTGTACGAAGAAACTCCAAAAGTCGCTGCAAGTAAAGTTGGTACAGCACGCGGCTCTCTTCGGCAACAAGAAACCTGCTGCGGAGAACTTCCTCCCGTTGTAATGCCCCTGCCCAACGTGCCCGCTCGACTCGCAGAATTTCCCGCGTGTCCTCAAGTTCCTTTTCCCGCGCCCTCAGTGTCGTTTCAAGCAAGCAACTGACGTTGGATACGGTCTCCCCATTAAACTTCTGTGCCATTGACGTCCTGGCAGTTTGCCATTCCAACTCCTTCTGCAGAAGGAGAGCCTCTGCATCGGAGGCTGCACGTTGGCTTGCGTGAATGACGTCCTCAAGCTCGGCTATCTTGGCTTCGTACATTTCTCGCAGTTGTGTCTCCCGCACGTTAGACAAACGCTTCTCTTGAGCCCGTTGCATGCACACCTCATCTAAACTCGATTTGGATTTCAGTAGCTGAATTCCTGTTGTTGTTGTTGTTGTTGTTGTTGCTGTCGTGTTTGTTGGATCCAAGAGTTCCGTCCCGTTGGGGTCCGCGGCCTCCATCCCAACTTGCAGCTCCTGCTGTTGATAAGTCTTCGGCTGGCAATCATGTTGCTGTTGCCCTACAGGGCGTTCCGTTGGTGAGTTCTGCCGAACGATCATCTCGGCAGGCTCCCGCCAATTTGCACCAGCCTCACTGGGTAGTGAGGACGCATTCCGCAGGCTGTTCAACGGCTCCGAATACATCTTTGCGCCGGAAGCATGCGTCAAACGCACGCGAAACGAGCGACCGCTTGATGGCCCTGCCGTTTCAATGCCAGCAGCGTCGGGGCGTCTCCCCACTTCTTCCCCTCCCTTCCTTCCCCGCTTGGTATTGTCGCAAAATGCATTATGGGACCCGTCCATCAGTGTATTAAAAATAGGCTGAGTGTCGAGTAGGATTCCCGGGCCCGGGCCGCTGCTGCTGCTGCTGGTGCCTCTACTCGCAGTAGAGGACTTCAGCCGCTGCTCGCAGTCACTCCTCTTCCAGTTGCTTTCAGTGCCAATCGACGGCATTCTCACGCCAGCAATGCCTCAAGTGAACAGAAGGAAAGCACACCAAATACGTGTTTATGGTGATAACAACAAGAACTTCCAACAACACGCAAATAGAATAATCCGCGGAAACCCTGCGACAGAATTAACAAGGGAGAGTGTTGGAGGCAATGAGAGAGAAGGAAAGACTTTTCCTTAACACCTAAAGTCCCGGCAATGCCTTCTCTATTTTTATATATATATATGTATTATTTATAGTTAGATATGAACTGCAGCAACGCCTTCAATGAGATCCCCAAGGAGGATGATGCAAATAGAGTTCTCTTCTACAAACAAGTACCACGCGCAAAATAAATAAATAAATAAAATAAAAGCAGCAATAAATTAAACTGAGAACAAAAACAAGGGAGAGTGAGAAACATACAACATTCATTTCTTTTCTTTTCCCTGTTACGATTTCCCTTTTGCCCAAAATAAATCGGTTGATTCTTAACTCTTGACAAGGAGGCATTTCTTCGCCTACTTTTCTTTTCCCCACACATCTGTCTATCTAGTCAAAATCCATCTTTATCATCTATGAGTCCCTTGGCACATCCACCAAATAATAATATTGATAACTGGACATGTATCCGCCACAACAATATATATATGAACAATCAAAAAAGAAATTAGGTGCTCCCCAGAATAAATATATAAAAACATGAACACATATGTATCTATGTATTATAATATGTCACTTTTATCTATTGCTTAGAGGGCAGCTGTGAGGGATCGAAGGTGCAGCATCTCCCCCAGGTGCGCAGTGGACTCACGCCCATCTACGATCACCGTGTCACGCCTTATGAAATCCCGCAGTGGAGGCACGAGGAAGTCCTCCGTGTTTGTTACACATTCGTTCCATCGTGCAACAGGTAAAACCGGCGACAAACCCTCCTTTGTGGGCCCTTCGTGGGCAAATAAAACAATAAACGCCTCCTCTGATTGAATCATTTCTTCCTTTTGCTTCGGTTGCGAGTTCAAACCAATTAAGCGGGACACGGGACAAGAGAGCAAAACCGGTCTTACTTCGCGTGTGTATTTCCCAAGCCCTCTCTCAACAGTCAATGCAAAAAGCATGTGCTCCGCCAACACGGCAATACGAAAAGGACAGCCAAATGTCTCTAGCGCAGTAGAGGCATTTGTAGGATCACTCGGCTGAGTATAATGAATGCCCTTGGTGCTTTGGATCATACCTGGCTGCATTAGCGCGCTGGTGGCCGTTGCAACGGACTCTTGCAGCATCTTAGCCTCTTGCACAGCAGCCACAAATAACTTGGAGTTCGGGTCCGCATCAATAACGTCATGTGCACGCCAAAACTGTTCCCGACGAAACTCCCTTAATTTTTCTTTCATCGATGCCTCACTCGTTTCTTCCGTGTTCATAGCGCCTGGTGGCACTTTTGCAAGCAATGCCGTAAAGAGGGTGCAAACATCAAAGGTCGAAACCTCCACACTGTACCCCGTTGTCCGTGCCACACACCAAATACGGGTGGGCCACTTGACAAAGCTCCCCCTTGTCTTCAAAGCCTGCTTGAGTTCATGGTGCACAAGTCTAAGTGACTCCACCCTAACGTCGTCGGGAATCTCGCCCCATGGCTGCTGGGCCAATTTCGCAGAGACACCACAACGCGCCAACAGCTGTCGCAGTGTCCCCGTCCCATCCTCCACGTGATGAAGGCCCAAAAGGCTCGCAACCACCGGGTGGTACCACATGGCCCCCCACAAGGAATAGTGCCGCAAGAGAAACAACTGATCCTCATCTAGGTTGACAAGCTGCATCGTGTTACTAGACGCAATCTTGTGGTGTCTATTGACCGTCTCCTCCGTGACGTCATCGAGCGGCCCTCGACGAATGCCTTTTCGCAACGTTACCTCATTGTGCAGCCGTCGCATCTCTACCAGGTACGTCCCATAATCGATTAGGCGGCGCGTAAATAAATCGCAGACTCCTACTGCCGCATGCCACAGCACCGCCTCCTTGACGCGGTTCAAAAGTATGGCCAAGTCGTAGACCTCTAGCGCACAACTTTTCCCTCCACGCTCCGCGGCGTAATAGAGCTGCTCAAGATTCTCCGGCACCTCCTCATTCATCCAGTCAATCCCCTCTTGGCTCTGCGAGGGAGTCATATCGTCGTGATTTTCATCATCATCATCCCCATCATCACTGCTGCCGCTGCTAATTTCGCTTTCCTCCTCCCGCTCCTCCTCGTCGTCGTCGTTCGCAAGTTCGCCGTATGCACGTAGACGGCGTTGGTTTTTGTGTGTCCGTCGTCGTCGTCGGCGACGCGCTCGCGCCAGCTCTCTTTTTCTCTGCTCCCGAAAGAATTGCTCCACCTCTTCATGTATGCGTTCTTGTCCCCAGAGCACCAGCCGATTATTGTCGCTTGCGCGAAGGTTGTCAAGAAGAAAGGGACGGTAGGAGTCAAGCACAATGACAATGTGTCGCCTCAAATCAAAAAAAGATCGCAATGAGACGGGAGCGCCAAGACCAATAAGGACAAACAACTCGTCCACCGGTGCACCGCCATCTGAAATTTCCGCATCCTGGGCCATACTTGTCCGCTGAATCACGCCTTTTACCTCTTCATACTCCATGACAGGGTGAAAGTTGAACGGGACAAAACAAGCCTTCAACAGTGTCGTTAGGGTTATAGAAGCCGCAGCCGCATCGGCGTGATAGGCCACCAACAGTTGGATGGGCTTGCGCTTTGTGTGGTAAAAGCGGTTTATATGTTCCCATGGTGTCAGCTGATCTGCCATGCGTTTCCTCTGTTGGATGCAGTTTAAGGATTATTCCCCTTCTTTATTTTCTATCCCCTGGCTGTGTCTGTGTCTGTCTGTGTGTGTGTGTGTGTGTTATCCCACCGGCACCACAGACAAAAATAAAGGTTCAAAAGATTTAAAAAAAAAAAAATGATAATAATAATTGTGAGATTGCCGGTATTAGACGCTGCAGATTGTTCAAATTTTCTAGATGATTCCTCTGCTCTCCTCCACGTTGAGAGCGTCATAAAAAACAATTTCATTTTTTTTTTTTTTCGTTTGTAGACGTTCGCCAGTGCCTCTCCCTAGTGACAATACGGGTAACACTGAGAAATGGTCTCCTGTATCAGAATCGGTGTAACTTTTGCAGCCAACTCGTCCAGTTTTGCCCTGCCAGCTTCCAAAGCACTTTTGAAAGTGGCATCATTGACGTCGTCCTTGCTAATACTTGTGGTGTTCTTCATTTCCTGCCGCTCCTTCATGAACGTCAAGGCGATTTCCTGCCGCCGCAAGTACCACCGCCGCATCACCTGGAACATTGTGTTCGGCACTGTGTGGTGCAATAAAAACTTCCCGTTCGTCCTTGCCATACGGAAGGCCTCGTGCATGGACGGATCCTCCATCAGCGGTGCCTCCAATAACGATGCTTCCCCCGTCCCCGCGGCAGACACTAGAGCAAACCGTGCCGCCTCCAGCTTTCTAACCCATAGGATGACCACCTCCGTATTCCAGTGTAACGGATCGGAGCGGGGTAAGTGCCGGTCGCCGTGAGGTTCACCCAACGCGTCAAGGATCATTTGCATCAACGGTTCCGGTACCTGCAGCCCCTCTCGAGTACGCAGGAGCGGCTTGCCGTTCGTGGATTCTTGTTTATTCGTGTCGTTTGCGTGCGCCTGCCCTTCTCCTCTCTCCACCATGAAATGCGGAAGCGGCATGCTTTCCTCGGATGCATTCGCCACCTCTGTTGCGTCATCCATTTCCTCCTCCATGTGCTCGTCTTCATTACCCCCGTCTTCAATGCCAAGTTCCTTCATCACGTACTGCTCGTAGGTGGCGTAGTTCCCTTCAAGTGCCTTCCTCCGTGCCTGCAGTTCCCGTGAGTGCAGCTCCTCTGCGGTGGGCGGGCGCGGCAGTACCTTGTTGCCGCCCTTGGAGGAAACGGCAGACGCCACTCCCGGAGTCCCTTGCTCCCTCATGATCTTGACAGACAGCCGACCCACCGTCGCAAATCGCGACCATTCTGGCCCAAAGTGGGCCGTACGCACTTCGTCGCTGGATGCGGCGTCGGCGAAGGCGTTAAAGTCCACACCGCTCCAAGCGGCAAACAATCCGTCGGAGGGATCACTGAAAGTCGAACGTTCGCCAAACGGGTCATCCGGGGCCAACGAGCGGTGTTTCATTGCCCGCCACGCACACAAGAATGGAAGAGAGCATTCGATAGCAAAAGTAGGTGTTGGCTGCAGTGCATGCAGCCTGCGCAAATGTGCTCGTGCAAATTTCATCGGCACCATCAACATACCCCAGCCGCCCCCTTTTGTTTACTTTCGGTGTTGTCGCTGTGTTTTCCTTTTCCGTCGTTCAATTCTCTTCTCCGTATTCTTGTTGTATGGACCCCTCCTTCTTTTGCTGTTCTTGTTGTCCTTTTATTTTTCACAGCCTCGAGTGGTTAAGAAAAATGTCCCACCAACGCACACATACACACAAACACAAAAAGAAAAAAAGAAGATGCTCGCCTCAAAGAAGAAACAAAAAAGTACATATATACATGTATACAATAATGATAATAATAATAATAATAATAATAATAAACAGACTGATAAAAGCGGTACGGCACATTCAACAGGTGCGTGTGTCCCCTCCCTTCTCCATGTACATTATCAGCGAGCAAACAAAAAAACAAAAAGACTCGACCATTATAAAATTACCCCCAAACCCCAGAAAAAATGCTGTAACCCCAAGAACCACGCTCAAAGAAGTGCACACAATCAAAAAACGTTTTATTTCAGTATTGTTGTCGCTTTTTTTTGTTGTTTTTTTTTGATGGCGATCCTAAGAGAAATAGCCCAATGGATGTGACTGGTGAAATTTCCATGCAGAGGCAATGATTTTGTCAATGTTGTCGTACTTCAACTCCCATCCAAGCGCCTTCTTTGCCTCCTCACCAGATGCCACTAGTACCGGTGGATCGCCCTCGCGACGTGCAGATTCCTTCACGGGTATCGGATGGCCCGTGACGCGGCGAGCGGCCTCAATGACCTCTCGTACGGAGTATCCACGTGAGGTCCCGAGATTAAATGCCGAGAAAAACGTGGCCTTCTCGTTCGGGTCTAGCCCCGCCAAGTAATCCAGTGCCAGAATGTGAGCTGTGGACAAGTCATACACGTGAATGTAGTCACGCACACACGTCCCATCAGGGGTGGGATAGTCCGTACCAAAAATGGAAACAAATTCCTCAACAGGGGCCTGCTGCAGTGCCTTGCGGCGCTTGTTAATCTCCGTTGCCAGTGGCACGCGCAGAATAAGCGGAATGAGGTGTGTCTCTGGCTCGTGATCCTCACCGATATCTCCGTCCTCGTCCGCCCCACAGGCATTGAAGTACCGCAGGCAAATACTTTTGATGCCATAGGCGTAAGCGCAGTCCTTCAAAATCCATTCGGTAACGAGTTTTGTTTCGCCATATGGGCTTTCAGGATGCTTCTTGGCATCGGGATGAATAGGCTCCATGCTTACAGTTGCGCCGCCTTCACTTGCGTGTGCCGCAGGGTTCCCAAACAACGCCGCCGTGCTGGAAAATATAATCTTGTCGCAGTGATGTGCACGCATAACCTGCAGCAGGCGGATAATTCCAATAACATTATTGTCGTAATACTTCAAAGGATCACGCACACTTTCTGGGACCACAATAAATGCGCACATGTGCACGACGGCATCGATGGGGGCATGCCGAGTAAAAACGTCGTTCAAAAAGGCCTCATCACGCACGTCTCCCAACTCAAGTACGGCGTGGCGTCCCGCACACAACTGCTCCGAGCTGCACTTTTGATTCCGCGCCAAATTTTCTTCGGTGTCAATATGAGCGGAGCGTCCGTGCGTCGCCTCCAGACTGTCAAGGATGACGACGGAGTGAGACGTTCGGCGCAGCAGCGCACGAACAAAGTGAGTCCCAATGTACCCAGCGCCCCCACACACTAAAACCCTCATGCTACTTGCTACCAAAACAACCTGAAAATTCAGATTTTGCTTGAGCACAACAGTTATATTTTGACTGTTGTTGCGGTTGGAATCACCCTCTATGCAAAGCGATGGGTGCATATTGGGAGAAAAAAAAAAAGAAAAAAAGAAAAAAAAAAAGAAACATGTGCCAATACGTCAACATTAAAAACAAGAGAGTATGTGACGCACGGCGCACAAAGCACATTACCACACGTGTCGCTCAGTCATCCGCGTCCTCTCCTCCTTCTGTTGGGCGCATGTGGAGACGATGACTCCGTAATGACTGCTGTCGTTCCCAAAACAGAACGCAAAAAAAAAAAAAAAAAAAAGAAGAGGAAGAAGAAGCAAGCCGCTAAACAAAACAAAAAAAAATCCAAAATAAAAAGAAAAAAGCCGAACAAGTAGGCGCAGAAAGGATTCCATTAGTCACCCCATGACATTTCCTCCCCAACAAAAGGACGCAGCGATTAAAAGGGGGTCGCACGAAAACAAACACTTTTTCCCCTCATTTCGACACCCCAAATCCAAAAAAAAAAAAAAAAAAAAAAAAAAAAAACGACATGTCAGTTTTGTTTTTTTTTTCTTTTTTTTCCCTCATTCCGGGGAGATTTTGCTTTTGCTTTTCCTCCGCAAATGTACCTGGGATTTATTGCCACCGCCGCACCAAAGCCCGAAAAGCCCGTTTGCGTGCGTCCTCGAAAAAAGATGCTTCTTACCCGTTGAAAGACATGGTGTATGCATTACGTGAGCATACAATTAAACACACCCACCCCCCCACAAAAAAAAAAAAAAGAGATATTAAAAAAAAAAAATTTAATGGAAACAAATAACCAAAATGGCGTCTCTTCTCCCACACTAAATAAAAAATTCATTTCGTTTCCATTTGCCCAATTTTGTCTTTTGTTTCTTTCTTGTCGCCTCCGTGGCTGTGGCTGTTTGTGCGTGTGCGTTTGTATTTGCCATTTTATCCCCCCTCTCAAAGAAAAAGTAAATAAATAAATATTATTTTCATTTGTTCTGTTCGTTAAAAAAAAAAAGAAAAGACAACAACAAAAAAAATCGCGCGGCTTCGATCTTTTCTTTTTTTTTTTTTTTGCTCCACCAAAGGGCCGCGTGCCGGTCGCAGCAGAAAAAAAAAAAAAACGCATGCGGAATAACACACATGCGTTGAGGTCCATGTGGAGACAAATGAAGAAGGAAAGAACCGGCCGCGTAGAAAATAAATAAACAAAAAGGAATTGAAATTAAGCGCAAAGAGGGGCGCGGCTGTCCGAAGTGTCATTACCCCCCGCTGTAGGAGGAGTGGGGGAGGAGGGCAGAGGTGTGTTTGGTGCCCGCCTCACTCGTTTATTTGTTGTGTTGTTTTTTCCTTTTTATTTTTTATTGTGCCTTCGCCACAGCGCTCAAAAGAAAAATTCGTGCCAGCCATCCCCTGAAGACAAAATGGACCCACCCGCAAAACAAATATTAAATAAACGCAGGAAAAATTTACTTCCAGTGATGTCTTTATTGGCTTTCTTGTAAGCAATTTTTTAGTTTTTTCTTTTTTTTTTTTTTTTAAATCGTTCGCTCCATTCTTTGTTTTTTTTTTTTTTTGTTCTTTTTGCTTTTTTTATTTCAATGTTTGTTTGTTTGTTTTGCGTGTGCGCCCGCGGTCTGACCACCTCCCGCCTCTCCGCACGCGCAAAAAGATAAGAACTGCCCTCCTGCCGCTGCGGTTCATTTTTCACCACTCATTTTTCAAAACGCGGCGGTGTTTGCCCGCAATACACGCTGTCATCCGCAACAGCAGCCACCGCCCAAGTGGTGGGGTGCATGAACAGCCCCGGTGTGTGCCTGCGCTCTCCTCAAAGCATCCAGGGGTGATTCAGCAACTCCGCCACAGTGGGGCGGTTCTCCGGGTCAAATGCAACGCACGCCTCCAGAAAGTCACGGACGTCGCCCTCAAGCCACAACGGGATCTCCGGCGCAATCTCGCCCTTCGTAATGCCAATGAGCAACTGCGACGGGCTTCCAAGAAGAGAATCAATGCTGTTTTGGGGGTCATTTGACCAGTCGGCGTCCGCCGTGCTCACCTCCGCCAGCGCAGCACCGATACATCCGTGAGGTTTCGGCAGCCACGCGGAGAACTCGGACACATTTGACTCCGAAACAGTACCGTTTCCGTCGAACACACCCCTTTCGGCCACACAGTGCGCCGCCAAATCTCGACCACCAACCGCTGGCTCTGTGTCCTTCCGTGGTTGCACAAATCTCCACGGCAACCGACCGGTAAGGAGCTCCAGAACGGTGATTCCAAGCGAAAAGACATCACTCTTTCCGCTGGGCACCTCACCACGCGCCACCTCAGGCGCGATGTATCCTGGCGTCCCACGCATCTCAACCACATCGCTAATTTTGTGAATTGAATTCGTCAGCCGCACAAGCGACGAGCCAAAGTCACTCAACTTGCAGACGCCGTCCATCGCCACCAAGACGTTGTGGGGTTTCACATCACAGTGCACCACGTTCATGGAGTGTAAATACATCAGTCCATTTAATGCATCCCTCAAAAATCGGCGAACGGCCATCGTTGGTAAGCTCCCAAAGCTGCTAAGGATGCTGTCAAGTGATCCGCCAGGGACAAGTTCCATTACCTCAATAAAGAAATCATTAGAGAAGTAGCCACTGATGTACTGCACAATGTTTTCATGCCGAAATTGGGAGAAAAGCTTAATTTCTTCCAAAATGTCTTCAATATCAATATTACGTGCCCGCAAAGCAAAGCACTTAAGTGCGACGAGATCTCCAGAAGTTGACATACCACGGTAGACCACAGAAAAGGCGCCAACGCCCAATTTGTCTGCCGAACGTGTCCAAGTATTTCCACGATAATCTGTAAAGACAAAAGGAAGCTCCCCCTTTGCAATACCGCGGGGTGACAATGGCATGCCTCCTCTGTCTCCTTCATTTTGGGCCTGTAGCGCAATCTGTTCTTCATCCTCATCTTCCGAGGAGTCAAGAAACATCTCAAAAAGGCCTTCCCCACATTTCTCCTCAGACGTCGTATCGACATGATTTTCCATAGCTGTTGAATACTTCGACAAACTACCTTCACGCGCCGACGCGGTGGAGAACGAATGGCTACCCACCTCCTCATTCCCTCGAAGAAAATCACATTTCGTCCGCAAGCTGGATAGAACGTTATCATTGCCAAGAAGCGTTGACACAAAGGCCTTGCTGTATGTATTGTATCCAGGTGACGTAGCTCGATCGCTTTTCGTACTATTGCCTTTCAAATAATATGGCGGAGCCCTCATTTTACCCACACAGCGGAGGTAAGGCTTTGTTATTCCTTTTCGGACAAAGCGGCGGCAAATTTGAAGCAGACGATAAGCCCGTACCTCTTTCCTATCCACACTGGAAAAAATGCAGGCGGCGGCCTCGTATTTTCCTCTCAACATACTGGCAAATCCGTGACGAATAAGACGGGCTGTCTCTTTCAGCTCCGAGAATTGCCTCGGCTCCAGCGACGCGACATGTCCCCGCAGCTCGTATAGAATAACACTTCGGTTAGAAAATCCACAGAAGGCAGTATCTACAGGGATGGTCAAAAATTGTTCGCCAAGAGAGACAGCAACCGGCCACGTCACGAGCAAATGACACCCAAGACAACGAACAATTCTTACCAGCTCCGTTTGAAAAAGCAGTTCTGCTCCATACGTGACGCGGGCGTTGAGATTTGCGGCACCACAAGTCCCAACATAGTACTCCCCGGCATCCACGACGGCAGCAAGTAGTCCTAAAATCTCAGGAGAAAGTGACTGCATCAGCTCAATAACAAAGCGCACAGCCTGTAGCTGATTTCTCGCCATATTGGAATGAGCACCGAAGGTAACCAGCAGAAAGTCCGGTCGTTGAATCTCCACCACGCCGCCACGGCGGATAAGAAGAAGAAAACAGACCTCTAGGTATTCCTGCAGCACTGTGCCAATTGAATCATAATCGTCAAAAAGAGGCAGGCTCAGGCACACCACGCTGCAGTATCGACGAAAAAAAAGATTCACACCGTCCTTTAACACAATTTTTTTTGAAGTAAAGTTTGACTTTTCAGCTACAGCGGCTTTCAAAGAGGGCGAAGAGCACGTGGAGAAGGCAAAAGGCCTTTCTTTCCCTTCCGTTGATAACAATGCCAAATGGTTCCCACTTTCTCCCTTTAAAGACCCCATTGAATCCGAATCAGGAGACTTGAATTGGCCTTGGTCCATCACCCCATACGGAAGAAATGTCTTCATGTAAATCAGTTGTTTATTTAAGGTTTGAAAATAACTTTGTATCAACATCAACTCTTTGATAAAAATAAACCCCTTCATGGGCCCGGATCCTTCACGAAGCTGTAGCATCAATTCCAGCCCTTTTAAGATGCCACGAATCGGTCTCATTAAACAGCAGGCAAGCCAAGTTTCCAAAAGGGCAACACCAAAAGCAACGCTTGCCAAAACCAAAATAACCCCATCACGTGTCTTTTCCATACTCTCGCTCAGGAGCGATTTTGGTACAATTATGATGGAAGCCACAAAAAGTTGATCATCCCCAAAAAAGACTCGATTTACATTCACCTTAAGTCTGACGCCTTTGTAAACAAAAATTTGCTTTGAGTAATTGGAGCGGAGCAAAAGCATCAAAATGCCCTCTCTTCCCCCCATTTTGTTAATAACTGCCCGCATATATGGACTACCGGTATTCCAAATGTATTCATTTTCTACCCCAGGTCTTTCGCACATGCTTTTTTTAGCTGTGCAGTTCCAGTTGTCCCACATGGTCGAAATTGTGTTTCCGGGAATTCTGCTTAGCACTAATCCGGTTCCAAGCTCCACAATCACCAAAGAGGCAATATCAGAGGATTGGTATTTCTTTGGATAATGGGGTTGCAATTTATTCAATTGCAAAGCACCTGTGATCACCGCGACATTGCCAGAGCTGTCAAGAAAAGGATACGTGTACGTCACCATTGTCTCATTGTAGGATGAATAGACCCACCACCGTCGGGTATCATTCCTCTCAGCCCACGGTAACGCTATTTTAACAAAAGGGTTGCTACGAGAAGCAAAGTCAATGGAATTTTCTTTCTCAGTCATACGGGAGACATCATAAAAAGGCTTCAGAGGCTTAGCGTACTCCAACGTCCCTGGATCCACAAGGTACCGATATTCAGACACATTTTTGGCAACGTGCTTCCCAACAATTGTTTTACCATCATACTGACGACTGCAATACGCACCAAATCCGGAAAAAGGGCTGCTCAGGTGCAAGTAAAGCAATAACTCCGAGAACGCAGAAGTGGCCAACACAGTACAAAGTTGCCGCATCACCATTGGCATATCGGTGCCTGACCATGGACGTAGTGGCGTGGTCTGGTTAAACTGCAGACTGTGAAAGACGGAACCTACAGTCTCCGAAAGAAATGTAAATCTATTAGCAATTTCGTTTGCCACCATTTCCGATGAGAAGTCTGCCAAGACATGAATGGACAAATCCAATTTCTTTCTTGTTCTCTCCACTGGCACAACGCAGATGACCGCAATAAAAGCGACTGACAAAAGAACGTGCGTGAAGACAAGCACGCGCAATCCAACACTACAAAATTTTGTTCGTGGCTTCGTCTCAAAGTCTTCTTCGCCGCCCACTTTAAAATCCTTTTCCTGCGGCGGAGCAGGTCCCGGCAACGCTGGACTTTCACTCTGGCTCCACTCCCCAATGTTCAGCAGCGAATTGTCCAGGTTCGACTTGTACCCGTAAATCCAGGACGGTGGCCTGTCCTCTGAAGAAGTCGGTCGTTGCCGGGGATCCAAGCGTTGCTCATCCGCCATTTTTTCCCGGGGAAAAGATGCCGCACCGCCAGCGAGTTTGTCGGACGACGCCTCACGCCCCGTGTTTTTGGAGGCCTCGCCAGCAGGAAGTTTCATCGGCAACCGCCCCCTGTTAAAAATTGAGCCGCAGAGTTCGGCCGGCCGGCGAGAAAAAACACCGCCAGAAAACCGTCCACACGATGCCTCGTTGTCATCTTGAGGCGAACAACACACCGACACCTCCTCTGTCATCTAATAATTGGAAATTGAAACCGCCCCACCTCCTCTTCCTTCTCTCTCTCTCTCCAAATATCCTACCTTTTTTTATCTCGTGGCTTCACCCAATTTGTTCTTTTTCTTTTTATGTGTGTTTATTTGCTTTGCTCGTTTTGATGGTTTGGTTTGATTATTCTTTTTTCCCCCTAATCTTATTATCCTTTGCTTTTTTTCTTCTTCTTTTTTTTTTTTTTTTTTGATGCGTCTCCCCGTGATGTTATCTTTGTATTGTCAAGACTCCTCGTTTTTTTCTCGGACACCGCAAATATTGAAGCGTTTTTATATCATCACGTAGCCTCGCCGGCCCTCTTATGATGCCTCCAGACCAAAGAAATAAAAACACAAACATTTGAATAATGAAAAAAAAAAAAAAAGAGAAAAGTTTGATTGGCATCAGCATTGTAATAAAGGGATTCCAATTGAGTAAACGCGAACATGGAACGGAAAATCCATCATGCATGTAAACCCCAAAAAAAGAACGGGAAAGAAAGTGGCGGTAGTACAACCATAAAAATAGTGTGAAAAAATATAGATAGATAGATAGATAGATACCGGTGCATCAGTTTCTAATCGCCGCCCTCCAAGAAGAAATGCAACGCATCTACGGCTCTGCTGTTTCTGCTGGAATGATAAAATAGTAAAGATTGGGGTGCAGCCGCAGTGGGGCGAGTTTCGTGGCAAACTCCGCAGCATTCGTCTGGGTTGTCCCTCCTACTCCTCCTCCTTCTCCCCCCAGATGCGAGTCCAGAGGCTCATACCCCATCCCTTGCACATTTATCCGAATGAATTCGTCTGCGTGTAAAAGGCGTTCAATAACCCTCCCCTTCCGGTCTGCGTTCATCTTGTTGCTGCTTCTCACCCGCTCCAGTATGGCGTCAAGCGTGTGGTGTGCGCCGAAAAGTGTTGGTTCTGTGCATATCACAGGAACAACGCCAATAAAGCGATCCGCAAGAACCTCAGCGACTGCAGTGAGATATGTCATCCCGGCCCCTGATGGATTCCCGAAGGACGCCACCGCCGACGGTGCACCTCCACTAATTTCAGTGTCTTGGCCAATAAAAATGTGGTACTTTGCGTTGTACAGACGCACAAGCATAACGGCCTCTGGAGCCCCCTCGTCTTTTCCAGACTGTGTATGCCACACGTCACCAAGAGCGGATGTGGGTGCTGTTTTCGTCAGTTCACCGCCCTCATTAATGGCATACACGGCATTATGTTCTTCATCCCCAAAGGTATCAGAGCTCAGGAGAAGACGCAACTGTTTCCAGTGCATGGAAAAGTTTTTCGCGCGCTGCGAAAGCTCTGAGAGAAACCCTGTCATGTCATCATCAATGCCAACAATGTGAACTACCGAAACTTCTGACCTCTGCAGCTCACACCAAGAAGCCATGAGAAACTGCAGAAGTGTGACGACGGCTGACGCGGACCGTGTTTCAGGACGCTCCATTGGGCAAGAATGCAAGAGCGGTACGATAAGTTTTTCATATTCCTCTCTGGCCTTCCGCCAAATTCCGCAGTACTTCTTGTGCCCACCCTTCCAATCCATCATTTGATGTTTCCTGCAGCAATACATGTCCACCTTGCATCCGCCACAGCGCAGCAGTTTGTCCCTGCGGCGACCACACCATGTACATTTGTAGTTGTGCGTTGGAGGTGGCACCGGCGCCACATCTTTAGTAAGAGTATAACCACCGCGCCCATCACTGTGACCATTATCAGGAGCAAAACTTACAGGGGCAATATGATCGGAGAGGAAAAGAAAGACGCGCCTCGCTGCATCCCATTCCTCCGGTGAACGTGGTGACTCCTCAAGAATCTCCACATGCGGAGATGCGATTAAATTATCCTTCACAACAGACCCTGTCGGTCGACGGAACACAACCTTTGGGAATGTATAGCCACTACACGATCCCTTACACAGTGGCTCTGTTGGTGTTTCCATACCAAATGGCTGCGGTTGTGTCAAAATAAAGTCCAAGTAACGGTCAATGTCGTCAAAGGCAATACCTTCCAGTGGTGTCAGCTGCGCAAAGAGTTCGCCGTCCTCATGCATCATGTCCCCGTACACCGTCTCAAAGGAATTCTCGCTGCATAGTTGAGACTGAAGATACAACACCTCGCCGCCGTCCTGCATCAGGTGCAACTCCGCGCCGACAGGCTGTGGCTCCAGTGGGCCAGGATCAAGGTTTTCAATAGACACCTCTTCCTTTTCTACAAAGAGTTTTTGAATGATGAGAACATGCCACCGTTGCCCCGCTTCTTCAGAAGATGTTTGTGACGCCAGTGTGAAGGAGGCAACGTTCCCCACACGCCTCCTCAAGTTCTGGAGAAATACACGACGTTCTTCCAAACGTCTGTCGGTCAACGATCGATTTTCTCCTTCCCCCATACTGCTCACTGCATCGGTAAAATTGTGATCCTCAGCCATATGGAAAGTATTTTTGTACAGCAGTTTGTTTAACCGTGGGAGTATGGCAAGAATGGCGTCGTTGCCTTCTTGGGACGGGGCCGACACGTCTGCTGCCTCTGATGTTCTGCGGCACGCCCACTTTATAGCATCCTCGACAAACACCGGTAGATGACCATCGTCCCACCCCTTCGTCATTCGGCCACGGGGCATCGCGCGATGAAGTTTCACTGACACCTCCGGAGTCTCCTGTGGACGCTGCAGCCGCTCGACTCTCTCCTTGTAGTGCCTAAAGGCCTGCTCGGAAAAGAGACCAAGACGATCGTGTGTGTCGCCCACAGTCACGCACACCACGGAGAAGAAGGAAGGTTGGAGGGCCGGCGGCACAGCCCGCAAGACGTCCGAAATGAGATCCGTCCCCTTCGTCCCCCACAACACATCCCTGCAGGTCCGCGACAAATCATAAAAAATCAGTTGCCATGGAGCAACGTCCGCCGCGCCAAGCATTTCCCTCCCCGCATCAGAAAAGGGCGACGCGAAAAGCATGTGGAATACCGGCGCGTACAGCCGGTTGGCTCGCCGATCACGGGACCACTGACGCTGAAACACAACCAAAAACTCCCATCGTGAGTATCGCTCCGTCAGCCAATTTCCCAACGCGTCTGCCCGCGTGCATGGCTCCCCATGAGAAAGAAAACCCTCAGCAACAGACATGCCACGCGAAGACGGCTCAAATTCTGCAACGCCGAATAAAAAACTTAACAGCAAAAAAACTGCAGGCCTCCCTAAGAAAAAATTTAAAAAAACCGAAAAATTCAGGAAAAAGAAAGATCCGAATTTCTCACGTTCACCCAACGGCACGACAACCCCAAAACAGAAGAGAAAAAAAACAGACACAAAAAAAAAAAATTCAACCTGCAACAACATTCAAAAACACAGATTTTTGTCTCTTCATTTTATTTTATTTTTTTTTGGGAGGGGGAGAAGGGGACGGAGCCAACCACATTCATTTGTGTTGGCGATAGAAGAAACAACAACAACAAAAAAAAAAAAAGGTCTTATCAAAGGGAAAAAAAATAAAGACGGGGCTCCATCATAAATCTTAGCAAAATCTTAACCCCCACACATATACCCTTTGCTCACTAAAAAAAAAAAAAAGTAAAACAACAAGTTATACCCAACACTAAAGTAATCCATAAAAAAATAAATAAATAAATAACACACAGAGAAGAAAAGAAAAAAAATCTAAAGTCCGTTACAAAAGATCACCATCCCTCTGCATCCACCCTCTATGAGACAGGGAAAAAAACAAAAAAATAAATAGAAAGCCCAATAGAACAAAATACACGCCCAAAAACAATATCTAGATTTAAAAAAAAAAAATGCATGTAATGTTAACGCTTATATGTACATATATATACATATATGTATATGCATCAAGTCACATTACTGAACATGAAAAACGAAACCGATTTCTACACGAACTCTCAGTAACAGAGCGATTACCCTCCACAAGCGGCACCGAATCCGAACTGCGTACACCTTTATTCTTCATTATGTTTGTTATTTTCTTCCTCTCCATCTCCGCCGCCCTTAAGGCTGCCTTTTTCTCCTCCTCAAGAACCGAAAAACGTTCTAAGAATCTCTGCTTCTGTGACTCCACGGCCTTGGCGGCCTCGGCAGCCTTACGCTTCTCCGCTTCAGCAACCTTCGTGGCCTCAGCTGCCTTACGCTTCTCCGCTTCAGCAACCTTCGTGGCCTCAGCTGCCTTACGCTTCTCCGCTTCAGCAACCTTCGTGGCCTCAGCTGCCTTCTGCTTCTCCGCTTCGGCAACCTTCGTGGCTTCAGCTGCCTTCTGCTTCTCCGCTTCGGCAACCTTCGTGGCTTCAGCTGCCTTCTGCTTCTCCGCTTCAGCAACCTTCGTGGCCTCAGCTGCCTTCTGCTTCTCCGCTTCGGCAACCTTCGTGGCTTCAGCTGCCTTACGCTTCTCCGCTTCAGCAACCTTCGTGGCCTCAGCTGCCTTACGCTTCTCCGCTTCCACGGCCTCGGCTGCCTTACGCTTCTCCGCTTCAGCAACCTTCGTGGCCTCAGCTGCCTTCTGCTTCTCCGCTTCGGCAACCTTCGTGGCCTCAGCTGCCTTCTGCTTCTCCGCTTCGGCAACCTTCGTGGCTTCAGCTGCCTTCTGCTTCTCCGCTTCAGCAACCTTCGTGGCCTCAGCTGCCTTCTGCTTCTCCGCTTCGGCAACCTTCGTGGCTTCAGCTGCCTTCTGCTTCTCCGCTTCGGCAACCTTCGTGGCTTCAGCTGCCTTCTGCTTCTCCGCTTCAGCAACCTTCGTGGCCTCAGCTGCCTTCTGCTTCTCCGCTTCGGCAACCTTCGTGGCTTCAGCTGCCTTCTGCTTCTCCGCTTCAGCAACCTTCGTGGCCTCAGCTGCCTTCTGCTTCTCCGCTTCGGCAACCTTCGTGGCTTCAGCTGCCTTACGCTTCTCCGCTTCAGCAACCTTCGTGGCCTCAGCTGCCCTCTGCTTCTCCGCTTCAGCAACCTTCGTGGCCTCAGCTGCCCTCTGCTTCTCCGCTTCAGCAACCTTCGTGGCCTCAGCTGCCTTACGCTTCTCCGCTTCAGCAACCTTCGTGGCCTCAGCTGCCTTACGCTTCTCCGCTTCAGCAACCTTCGTGGCCTCAGCTGCCCTCTGCTTCTCCGCTTCAGCAACCTTCGTGGCCTCAGCTGCCTTCTGCTTCTCCGCTTCGGCAACCTTCGTGGCTTCAGCTGCCCTCTGCTTCTCCGCTTCAGCAACCTTCGTGGCCTCAGCTGCCCTCTGCTTCTCCGCTTCAGCAACCTTCGTGGCCTCAGCTGCATTACGCTTCTCCGCTTCAGCAACCTTCGTGGCCTCAGCTGCCCTCTGCTTCTCCGCTTCAGCAACCTTCGTGGCCTCAGCTGCCTTACGCTTCTCCGCTTCAGCAGCCTTCGTGGCCTCAGCTGCCCTCTGCTTCTCCGCTTCAGCAGCCTTCGTGGCCTCAGCTGCCTTCTGCTTCTCCGCTTCGGCAACCTTCGTGGCTTCAGCTGCCTTACGCTTCTCCGCTTCAGCAACCTTCGTGGCCTCAGCTGCCTTACGCTTCTCCGCTTCAGCAACCTTCGTGGCCTCAGCTGCATTACGCTTCTCCGCTTCAGCAACCTTCGTGGCCTCAGCTGCCCTCTGCTTCTCCGCTTCAGCAACCTTCGTGGCCTCAGCTGCCTTACGCTTCTCCGCTTCAGCAGCCTTCGTGGCCTCAGCTGCCCTCTGCTTCTCCGCTTCAGCAGCCTTCGTGGCCTCAGCTGCCTTCTGCTTCTCCGCTTCAGCAACCTTCGTGGCCTCGGCTGCCTTACGCTTCTCCGCTTCCACGGCCTCGGCTGCCTTACGCTTCTCCGCTTCAGCAACCTTCGTGGCCTCAGCTGCCTTCTGCTTCTCCGCTTCAGCAACCTTCGTGGCCTCAGCTGCCTTCTGCTTCTCCGCTTCGGCAACCTTCGTGGCTTCAGCTGCCTTCTGCTTCTCCGCTTCAGCAACCTTCGTGGCCTCAGCTGCCCTCTGCTTCTCCGCTTCAGCAACCTTCGTGGCCTCAGCTGCCTTCTGCTTCTCCGCTTCGGCAGCCTTCGTGGCCTCAGCTGCCTTACGCTTCTCCGTTTCCACGGCCTCGGCTGCCTTACGCTTCTCCGCTTCAGCAACCTTCGTGGCCTCAGCTGCCTTCTGCTTCTCCGCTTCAGCAGCCTTCGTGGCCTCAGCTGCCTTACGCTTCTCCGCTTCCACGGCCTTCGTGGCCTCAGCTGCCTTCTGCTTCTCCGCTTCGGCAGCCTTCGTGGCCTCGGCTGCCTTACGCTTCTCCGCTTCAGCAACCTTCGTGGCCTCAGCTGCCTTCTGCTTCTCCGCTTCAGCAGCCTTCGTGGCCTCGGCTGCCTTACGCTTCTCCGCTTCCACGGCCTCGGCTGCCTTACGCTTCTCCGCTTCGGCAACCTTCGTGGCCTCAGCTGCCTTCTGCTTCTCCGCTTCGGCAACCTTCGTGGCCTCAGCTGCCCTCTGCTTCTCCGCTTCAGCAACCTTCGTGGCCTCAGCTGCCCTCTGCTTCTCCGCTTCAGCAACCTTCGTGGCCTCAGCTGCCCTCTGCTTCTCCGCTTCAGCAACCTTCGTGGCTTCAGCTGCCTTCTGCTTCTCCGCTTCAGCAACCTTCGTGGCCTCAGCTGCCCTCTGCTTCTCCGCTTCGGCAACCTTCGTGGCTTCAGCTGCCTTCTGCTTCTCCGCTTCAGCAACCTTCGTGGCCTCAGCTGCCCTCTGCTTCTCCGCTTCAGCAACCTTCGTGGCCTCAGCTGCCCTCTGCTTCTCCGCTTCAGCAACCTTCGTGGCTTCAGCTGCCTTCTGCTTCTCCGCTTCGGCAACCTTCGTGGCTTCAGCTGCCTTCTGCTTCTCCGCTTCGGCAACCTTCGTGGCTTCAGCTGCCTTCTGCTTCTCCGCTTCAGCAACCTTCGTGGCCTCAGCTGCCCTCTGCTTCTCCGCTTCAGCAACCTTCGTGGCCTCAGCTGCCCTCTGCTTCTCCGCTTCAGCAACCTTCGTGGCTTCAGCTGCCTTCTGCTTCTCCGCTTCAGCAACCTTCGTGGCCTCAGCTGCCTTCTGCTTCTCCGCTTCGGCAACCTTCGTGGCTTCAGCTGCCTTCTGCTTCTCCGCTTCAGCAACCTTCGTGGCCTCGGCTGCCTTACGCTTCTCCGCTTCCACGGCCTCGGCTGCCTTACGCTTCTCCGCTTCAGCAACCTTCGTGGCCTCGGCTGCCTTACGCTTCTCCGCTTCAGCAACCTTCGTGGCTTCAGCTGCCCTCTGTTTCTCCGCTTCGGCAGTTTTTGCGGTTTCAGAATTTTTTCTCTTATCCGGATTTGAAACTGCGTCATTTGGCTTTTTCTTTAAGTTTATATTTTCCGACTCAAATGTTATAAGGCGTTGAAATGTTTTAGCTTTTTCCTCCTCTGCCTTGTGTGCTGCTTTGTTCGCTTGGTTTCTTTCCTCTTCCAGCTTGGTTGCCCGGTTAATGGCGTCCAATTTTTCTTTCTCGGCCCTCTTCACTTTTTCTCGTAGCTTCGTCATTTCTTTTTTGAAATTGGCGATATTATTTTCTGCCTGTTGGAGCTGGGACCGCATTTGACCCTTGTCAAATTCCGACTTTCGCGAAAGCTGATTATATGACTCCTCAAGTTCTTTTATGCGCTCTTCACGGAAGTCGATTTCAATTCTGAGGCCAGTGACAAGGCGGTCTTCTTCTTTGGAGCTGACAGAACTTGTGGCATCGGAGTCAATGTACCCACGCGAGTTTTCCCGACTTCTGGAAAAATTCTCACTGCCCTTGTAAGAAGAGGCTGATGGCGAGTCGCTGCGGATAGCACCAAACATTTATTGTTTGATCGTCACTTTATTTAATTGCAAATTACCTGCGTGTAAAAAAAAAAAAAAAAAGGAAAAAAACCACAAAAAAACGGAGTAACACACAAGCCGCGTAATTGGCATCCGCATCCACACCTCCCCACTTGAGAAGCACACCCACACCCTCTCGGGTGCCAAAAAATTTGCTAAAAACCCCCATCAACCCTGGCAAAGACACTTATATAAAAGACACACATATATATATAATATATGCATATAATAAATAAGTAGAAATTAAGTCCTAAATGCGGTAAAGTCTGTAAAATCATTGCTCCCTTGAACGGGTGGAAATAATACTCCTCATAATGCAGCCATTTTTTTCCCCTTTAGAGACGTACCGAAAAAAAAAAAAAAAAGATAATAAAAATAAAAATCATGAAAACAAACAAACAAACAAACAAAATAAATAAATATCTGTCACTAGAAATCACACCTTTGAGTGCGTTCCGTCGCAAAAGGGCGGTTTCTTTGTCTGCTTGCAGCCGCAAAGATACGCCTTTTCAGTCTTTTTCGCGGTGAACGCCATGGGCTTTAGCTCCGTCTTGTGCTGCTCGTTGTAATCCCTGTGGGAACCATCGCAAAAGGGCTGATTTTTGCTCAGACCGCACGCGCACCAGTAGTAAGTCTTGCCTTCCTCCACATCAACGCCGTAAGGCGCCTTCTGTGGGACTGCGACGTGCGTCTTGATGGAATAAGCTGCTGTGTCGGCCATTGTGGCAATTGCAATATAAGTAGTTTTTTTTTGTTGTTGTTGTTGTTTTTTCTTTGTTTTTATTTTGGCTTTAGATTGATTGAAAGCGCAAGCTTCGCCAAAGACAGCAACCAGAGAAAACGAGTGAGAGGTGATATATATATATATATATGGAGAGAGAGTGAGAGAGAGAGAGAATAAGAATACAAGAAGCCTGGCGGGAGTTATTCCCCCGCACGCCCTCCATTCACAGCACCCAACAAGAGTGAATCACAAATAATAATAATAATCGAAAATGGATTACAATGCCGCCTTCACTTCTCATCAAAAACAGAAAGTGTTTTGCTGATCTTCCGTTTTTCTTTTGCCTTTGAACTAAGAGGATCAGGGACGTCAATTAAAGAAAGCACACGTGCCATGTTTTTCTTTAATTCCTTCTCGAACGTTTCGACAATGTCGTGGAAACGTCCCTGGGTGCTGCCTTCGCCAATTTTTCTATTGGCTTTCTCTCGGTAGGCACCATGAATTTCCATTTGCTCCCCAAGCACGGCAGTGTTGACTGTTTTTGTAGACGTTCCTTCCTGCTTGACAGGTGTAGTTGTGGCAAATTGTCCTTTTTTGTACGCGTTTGGCTTAGCGATCAAAGTACCGCAGACAGCACACTCATTCTCATTTGTAAGCATTGCCTTTGCGAGTTCTAAGCATTGCCTGCAAGCCGAGAAGTGGCAGCATGGAATTACCACCTCTGCGAAGCAATTGAGCTCACAGAGAACACATATCCCTTTAACTGGTTTCGGGATTGGTGTCTTCTCATTGGCTGTCTGCCGCCGAAGCCAAGGAAGCAGAGGAAACGCCTTGTTTGATAGTGTGGTTACACGAATAAAAGCATGTGGGTCATCGGTATCTTCGCTGCTGCGCTCACGTTTTTGATTACGAGGGCCGAGTGTCTGGGATTCTTCCGCGGCCTCTTCGTTTTGTAAAAGACATTCCACCTGCTGTAGACGATTTTCTTCCGTCATTTGCTCGTTATGAGTCACCCCATCCATGTAATGTCTCCGCAATACATTCACAACAATCCTGTCGTATGTGCGTAATAGAGCATCTGACGGCAAGATGTCATTAGCGGCATTTTTAGATGCCGACTGGGCATCCTGACGCTCTGCGCCAGCTGTTACAAGGCGACGAACCTCAAATTTGTACTTTGTGAGGTTTATCTGGTGCTGCTTTACAACAGCCTGCAACAGCGTTTCCAAAGGCACTGCCTCGCCGCTAAATCCAAAGCTGTGATAACGACCAGAAGCCGCTGGATGAGAGCCAAGCAGTCGATACTGCACTACGCCTTCCACTTCCATCCTTCTTTTAATTGGGCCGACTCTTCACTTTTAATGTGCGTCCTCCCATCACGTGTCGCCTCGTGGCAAGGACCAAGAAATTAAAAAATAAATAAATAAATAAAAATAAACAAGGGAGAAAACGTAAAGAGAAATTCCTATAGCATGTATACACAGTTTCTACACAGAGACAAACTCCACTGAAAGACCCTGTTGTGTAAAATAAATTACGGATACGAAAAAAAAAAAAAAAATGGAATGTTGTAACATTTTCAATACACCAGTAACAGAAGAATAATAAAAAAAGAAAAAATAATATTTTTACATCTAAAACTGGCATTGACGCTCGTCCTTTTGCTCTCATCAATCATCATAGACGGTTGCTATAACGGCATTCTTTTTGCTGCCGGCGAAGACGGGGTTTGCCTTCTTTGGTCCCCCCGCAATATAGACGGTGTGCCCATCAACGGTGAAATACCGGTCCGATTCACGGGTTTCCTCAAGCTTCTTTCGAAGTGTACTTATGGCTTCTTCACTGTCCCCGGCATATCCTAAAGTAGCTAGTGGTGATACTCCGTCAAACTGATTCTTTGGCTTTGTCACACGCGGCCGATTCGACGCGATGCTTAAGGACCTGCTGAAGTATCTCTGCTGGTGGACCTGCTTTCTCTTTTCTTGAGCCTCCAAGTTGGTCCAGTCAACGGAGCAGAGAAAGTTGGTGCGGTCAATCTCTTTGTATGCATCCTCGTCTGGTGGTGTGTAGTCGGCCTTCATAACTGTCACAGGGCAAAACAGAGACTGTGCCCCCGTAAACACCTCGCGAAAGTTCTCCTTCTCCCGTGGGGTAGCGACATGCAAAATCCACACGCGGGCCAGTCTCTTACCCAAATCGGAGAGCACAGCTCCATAGTGTTTGATCATCATCCTTACCTCACAAAATGACACTTGGCAGGTGTACTCTGCAGTGTACACCGGATCTTCCTTGTCAGGGTCTAGTGTGTACATCTCCTGGCATATGCGACGAAATGTATTGCGTTGTCTGCCTGTGGCTGTCTTGTTGTACCAATATTCCACCTGCTCGCGACGTTCTGGTGCAAAAATCGGATGGTACTCCTCATGCATAAGGTGCCATTTGACAGACGGCTTCTGTGGTAGAGGCGACAACTTTCTGAAACGAGTGTTCATCCTGTTCTTTTTTTTTGTTCTGTGTGTGTGTGTGTGTATGTGCGGGCCTTCCGGAAAAAATTTGGCTTCGCCGCCTCCGTCCTCCTCCTCCTCTCCTTGAAGCAAACAGAAGAAATCGTCAGCAACAAAAAGGATAAAAAGAGGAAAAAAAAATAGTAAACCATCAGGCCAAAAGGAAAAAGCGTTCATACCACATCTGTGAAACAAAGCCAAAAATAAAAAACACTAGAAATAAACAAATAAAATGCCACCCAATTCACATCAACAATGCTAAAACATACAAAACTAAATAAATGATAAAGGGGGCACAAAAGCATGCGCACCAACCTCCTCATAAGCACAAATTGAGGAGGCATGCGTATCCACGCAGATGCATCTACACGGATGGACCCGCATAATTTTTTGTAGATATAGCGATAAAAAGTTAAAATTGTACTTGTTGTTGTTCCTTCCAAAGTGTTTGGAGCGACACAATCTAAAGAAGACTTTTCTCCACCTGCTGTTGCGCCTCTTTTGTCAGCTTCTCCATTTCAGAAGAGACACCCGCACTTGTTAGAGGAACCTGCACAAGAGAAGAGCTGTTCACACTCACTAAGCCCTTAAAAGCCTTTGTCCATACGTCTAATACCGTTGAGTTACATGTAAGGAGGTCCACACTCCTTGCGGTGCCATGGTGACGGTCAATAAACCAAAGGGAAAATCCGCCTTCAGTCGGAAGATTCAGGCGATGATTGTCGACCCGTGGTCCTCGAATCGTGTGCAAGGACAAAAAGTTTGGCCGAAATGACGCCGAGCGAGTGTTGACCGTGATACCCACAAGCTGCTCTAGAGGGACGCAGCCTGCAAGTTGAACTCCAGCGCGATGCATGGTCCACGCCAAATACGGAATCTTCTCTGAGAATCGTGTTGTCATATCACGGGGAAGCATGCGAATACTGAAGAAACGTTCCTTTGGCGACGACTTGGCCTGGTAGCGGACGAAGTATGCCCCCCGGCAGCAAAGGTCAATGTAGTGAAGGAACACCTCCGACATGTGGTACTCCACGAGATCAGCGTACTGTGGCAAAACAAACCCGCGGCTACGGAAAAGACTTAAAATAATGGCATGACGTGGATGCCGCGCCCATGCAAAGATGTGCGATTGGGATGGACACAAGACCTCCGGTGGCACAACAGGTTCTACGTCCAGATCAAAGAGGGCCGAATCCCTAAACGACAATTCTGAATCTTCCGATGTGGACGAGAAAAAAGAGTCTTCGAACGATGAGGAATGCGGTGTGCTGGATGTGATTCTTCCCATGTCGCCGCGCAGTGCTCGCCCTGCTTTAGCGGGTGCAGAAGCACCTCGAAGGTTACCATGCAGGAAATGGTGGGCCACCCTCTGCCAACCTCGAGAAACCGGGCCACGCGTATCGTCGTGCCTGGCAAAAGTCGCCAAGCCACTATTGACTTCATTCCGTTTGTTCGCCCTCCCAATATCATTGTTGCTTCTGGCACTGGCGTACCCCTTAATTATGTTTCCGTGGCACGGTTCATCCAATCGCGAGGAGTCAACACTCTTACCAGACACCTTCACCTTCGAAGTTCCTGCAAAGAAAAGCGCACTCGTGTTGTGTGGCGTCGGGGAGCTCTGATCATAGGCACTTATTGTTTCGTTGTTGTTGGTGTACCTGCTGTTGTTGTTGTTGTTATTGTTGCTGCTGTCGGTGGCGGCGGCGGCAGCGCTGGTGAACGCATTCCAGCCTCGTGATCCTCCCGAAGTGGCAGTTGAGTTGGTGGTGAATGGATCATGCCTCTCGTTGCCCAAAGCGTCCAAGTCAGGACGCTCAGGCAGCAAGTCCCCGCTCCTGTTGATACTTAACTTCGGCACAAAGGCAGAAGGAGGCACATGGGTGCCGCCACGTCTCATGTGTGTTGTGTGCCAGTGCTTTCCCGTCAGAAGGTTCAAGACCCCCTCCCAATAAAACGACGCAGCCTGAAAGCCTCGGAATAAGCAAAAAAAAAAAAAAAAAGAGAAAAAAAAAAGTTTTTTTTTTTTTTTTTTAAATCGAAACAAGAGAAGAGTCTCAGAAAGATACAAATATGTGCATGCATGCATGTATCAAAAAAAAAAAAAAGTACCGTCTTTGTAGATGCGCCAGCATTACGTATGATAAACAAACCCGCTGCTTCTACAGCTGTGCCAATTGTCATCCCATCTCTCATTGGGGCGGTCCTTGTCATTTTAAACCACTCAACTTAAGAGTCTTCCCTTCCTTCGTGATAGCGCACGTACAGATCCTTGAGGTCCTGCCGCAACCTCTCGACAGTATCCCCCATCTTCTCAATCTGCTGCTGCATTCGCTCCATCATCCACGCCGTCATCTCCTCCACTGTCACAGCATCATCACTGCACCATGCGTTACACGCGGCGAACCACTCTGCCCACCATTGCGGCATGGTAGGAGGGTAGTAGCGATCAGGCAGCATCGCTGGCAGGTATTCAGTCTCGACATGACGGACAATCCAGGCCCGCTTGGCATTGCGCCGATCAACGGCATCCGGCAATTTTCGCTCCGCGCAAGCCAATTTTTTCCCACGACCATGTGTCCCCTCTCTTTGCTCAGAGCCATGCAGCCGGCGGTAGCTTTTTGACGCAGCCCCGTACGCAATGGCGATCCTGTCGGCAAAGTGGCGTCGCCACGACGAATAAGAGCGTCGACGGGAATTTAAGGCACTTCCATCACTTGTCAGTGAGCTTACTGATAAACTATCACGACTATCCCCTCTTACATTTCGCTGAATTAAACTTCCGTTTTTTTCGCTGCGGCAATCGTTAGCAGCACAGCTTTCCGTAGATGATTCGCCAGCAAGAAAAGATGTATTGGTACTATTAATAGTATTATTAGTGGTAGCAGTAGTGGTAGTATGGGTAATTGGATCACATTTTGCATTGTCCACTCGTTTCAGAGAGGAAGATCGTGATGACACACTCAATGATCCCCCATTGCTTTCGTAATCGTCAAGAAGATAACCAATGGTGTGGACAACGCCCATTAAATCATCTTTTTGTCCCATCGGCTTCCCCAAGAGACCACGTAGACTATGCCACCATCCCCTGTAGGGTCGCTCGTACAGGGAATGCATTGGCGGAGAGTCACCGGTGTTGACACTACCACGACCGTAATCAATAATCTTGAAAATGAAAACAGGTACATCTTCAACAGAGTTTGTTGACCCGCTCTTGTCGTGACTAACGCAATCCTTATTTGCAGCATTGTTTAGGATTTCCCTGGAGTTCCAGCAAAAGTTCTCGGGTTTAATGCTGCGGTGAGTCACGCCCAGCTGGTGAATCGCGCTAAGCGCCCGCAAGAGCTCAATGCCCACGACGCATAACTCCTCCTCATATAAAACAAATCTCTCTGTGAAGGCAAACAGGTCAGGACCCAAGAGCTCCAACCCGATTGCGACATGACCCCCTACTTCCTGAGTAAAGAAAAGTTTTGGACAAGGAGGTGGGAAAGAACGTGTAGACAAAAGCAAAGATGCAGTGCATCGGCCACAATTAGGTGCCTCGTTAACTTCATCATTGGCCTCTGCATTCGGTTCCCCACGAAAGCGGTTCAAATACCTCAAGCAATGTATCTCACGCTGCATGTGACTAGAAGACGAAGATACAAACTTCAGCGCCATAAATGTGTCTTCTGCCGTCGTTGTATTTCCAGCATCGGTCCCATCGCAATCAGCCTCTCGACATTGTTGGGGACTGTAAGCTCGTGATTGCTGCTTTTTCCGGGGAGCCGCCTCACGATCCTCAGCAGGTGCGAATCCACCCTCATTGGCCCTCCGCGCCAAAAACACTTGACTGTTGTTGCCGCTCTCCATGGGACTCACAATGTGGAGAGGAAGTGAAATTCTCTCTGGAGAAACAGGTGAAATGGAGCGCGATGACAAAGATGACGATAAAGATGATGACAATACTAATGATGATGATGACGATGATTTCATGGTTGATGCTATCAAAGAGGTTCTGTTGTGACAATTGCCGCCAACCTTGAAGGAGTGCGGAATTTTCCCCTCGCCGACATCAACGCCGCTTTCCTCCATTAACACCGTCGCCATCCGCGGCAGAACATCAGCACAAAGACCCACATCCTCCTGCCTGGTTCGCTTCGCCGGCATGCCCTTCTCAACTAACAGCCCCGAACGCCTGCACGAGTGGTATTGCATTCTCCCTACGATTGTAAACCCAGCGCTGTGTCCGTGCCCAGTGAGAGCCAAAAGAAAAAAAAAGGCAAAGAAATAGGAAAAGACACGAACAACAAACAGAAGAAAAAAGGATTTGTTGTGAATACAAGTGCTTTAAAAAAAAGGAAAGAAGAAATACAAAAGGGTGGCGGCGCGGAAGGAAATTCATAACAAACGGGGCGCATTACTTCCACAAGTGTTCTCCGTAAGAAGTAAATGTACGGGGCTACCGCACAACTACCCAAAATGATACATGGTAAAAGGAAAAAAAGAACCCGTTGATTGCCCCCATATCCCCCAGTTTGCACTCGTGCAGTAAATGAAGTACACAACTTGGTGTTTCGTTATCCCCCCTCCCCCCTTATCTCGCTCCTACACGCCTGTGGGTGGGTGTTTTTTCACGTCTGTGTTTAGGTGAGTAGTATTTACATCAGGGGGACGGGAGACGCATATAATGAAGTAACTAGCATTGATGTTGTAAAATATAATTTTGATGCTAATGTTTTTTCTTTTTTTCCGTTGTTGTTTGCTTCCTTACTCTTCTATTTTCCTTCCTTTTCGCCCGATGCTGCGGTTCTTCTTTCCCTTCCCTTTTTTGTCGCGGCTGCAGCCCTCGTGTTGACGTACATCTCACTCTGTCGTTCTCTTTTCGTCCCCTCCGCTCGCCCCACCCACCGCAGAGACCAACTCTGTTTGGTTTCGGCTACACATATCCGCGGGGTCTACGTGGGTTTCTCGTCGGTTTCCTTCGGAGGAATAGTCCCGTTCGCCTCTTCCAGGGCCGCGGCCGCAGGGGCCTTCCGCTCCAACTCCTCCTGCCTGAGGCACACCATGTCCACCACAGCCGGCAGCACAAAACTGTCAAGCATGTCGCAAACCAAATTTTCTGTTGCATCGGCATCTAGAAATTCCCTTGCAGGCGTCGGAGGCCTCTCCAGGCGACTGCACTCCGCAGCAATTGCCTCTTCCATTGCACACTCCTCCGCAGAGGTGGTGTACAGCTGGTGCGAGTAACATTCAACAACGTCTTCGATGGCGCGGATGTAGGCGGCGTATTGCACGGCCTCCTTGTCATGAAGGATACGCTGTTGTGCACGGAGCTCAGCTTCCTTCGCCTCACGCTCCGCCCGAACAGCCTCTGCCTCACGGCGGAGTTCCTCCAATCTGCTAAGGTCTCGTTGACGCTCTAGTTCATGGAAGAGGTAATCTAGGGTTTCCACAATAACATCACCCTGCGCTGCATCCCCCAAACTCTCAGCAATGGCCTCAAAACGCTTCGCCCTCTCATCCATTTCCTTCTCCTCTGGACTGCGTTCGGCATACTTTGCATTGGACGCGGCCTGGAGTTCTTCGATGAGTCCACGGCATCGTTCCTTGCCATCAAAGAAGTCATTCTGAACTGCACGACCCCGAAGGAGGCGCTGAAGAAGAATACAGGCTTCCTCCAACTCCTCTCCTTCATCGTCCTCAAGCTCCAACTCGGGTGTGTCAGGACGTTGGAGACGCGGAGTGGCGCGATATAGCTCCATAATGCGCATCTTCTCTTCCGGGGAGTCCTGCTTATGAATCTTCGCATTGACATATTCAAGAGCATCCACAACACGTGTTGCCTCACGCCGCTGGTACAGAGTTGGTAGGGAATTAATGGCGTAATTTTCCGGGGCCAAAAAGGCATCCGCTCGAATCCGTTGAATGCGTGGCACCTTGGTCTCCTCCAGCTCCTTTACACCTTCTTCAATTGTAAGCATGGTCGGTCTTACATCGTAGTGCCGGAAGTGATCGGAAGGCTCCTTCATTACGGGTGACATTGACCTTCCGTGTGTAACCTGCGGCGTAGTGGCAAACATGCCGTTCTTGGAGTGAAACTCAATAAGATCCTTCTTTGGCTTGTGCGAATCAATGGGATCCACCGCGTACATTCCACAGGCTACGGAGGGTGCAGTTTTAGAAGCCTCATCTTCCAACAGCCTCTGACCCTTCAAAATGCGCTTCACCTCCGTCCGCTCAATGGTGCGCCTCAATTCGGCAAGCTTTTGTGCCTTCACATTCTCTAAGCGAAGAAGATTTGCTTCCTCCCTTGCCCGCTCTCGCTCCATCAGAGCATCACGAATACTGTCAAGACGGCGTTGGCGAATTTTGGCCATGTGGTCTTCACATTCCTTTCGCTCCTGTTTTTCCAGTTCATACAGGGTACGGTAACGCTCTTCCGCGGACTTCGCATCTGTCTCTGGCGGTAGTGACGCCTCCACAGCGCGTCGGCGCCGCAGTCGCTGAATGAGCTCCACTTCTTCCATACCGGCAGGCAGGCCGTCATTCCACTTCAGTTGACGGATGCCCAGCACCTCCGGATTGGGGTCCCCACCCTCTGGAATGTAATACTCGGGCGTATATGGGACTGTCTGTGCCTCGTTCTCGCGATACACGGTTTGCATCCCTACGTCACGTGATACTCCGGCTCCGTCCATGGGTGTGGTGAAAGTCCTTGAAGTCCCCGCTCCAGCGTGGTGGACCCGCTTCTTTATGGCGGGCAGGTGGTGCGGCCGCGTCTTCTGCCCCGACGCCGAAGCGGTGCGTTGTGGAAATAAGGCAGCTGCGAGTTGGCTCCCTGTCGGTGTTGGCGTGTTGGGTTCACTCTTAGCAAAACGGACATTGTCAATATCTGCGTACAACGTGGGAATACTGCGCGCCTCAACGGGCCGGCGAAAAAACCGCACGCGGTCACGACCGGCCACCTCCGTCGTAAAGCCGTGCGCCCCCAGCACAGATGTGGGCTGCCGCTGCTTTTGCGCGTAGTACATGGCGAGGCGAATGGCCTTTGGAAAAAAATTGACTGACAGATGCCAACAAAAAAAGCGTCGACAACAACAACAAAAGGCGAGTTAGGGGATGGTGGCTGCGCGTGGCGGAACACCAAAGAAGTAAAATTAAAATGAAAACAACAATCGCTTCCTTCCCTTTTGCTGCCAGCACGGTTGGCAAACTCCACTAAGAGGCGCAATTTTAAAACTATGAGAGGAAAGAAAAAGAGGCACTCAAATATAATGAGGCATACATACAACAAAAAAAACACATGTCTACCCGCTCCCGAAGACACACACACAAAAAAAAAGGAAAAAAAAAAAGGAAATTACAACGTAGTACTCACTCCTCAGCACTCCTCATGATTCCGCTGCATTCCATCGAAAGATAGATGCCTTCACACGTCTATTCACCCCCGTCAGGTACGGTCGGAATGTGTAAAAGGTGTAAATCATAAACGGGAAACGAAATAGTTCCAGCATTTCATTGATCAAGAATGCAAAGCCAAAGTCCACGTATGTGCCCCAAGCCTCCACACGCATGTAAAACCACTCCTTGTCCACGTAACCCCCCAATAAAAAAAACATGAACTCATACGCCGTTTCCTTTTTAAGAATCCCCGTTGCAAAGCCCACGTAAAGTGCAACAAGACAACCCAGATAGGCAAAAATGTAAAGCAGCGTGAATCCCAGGCCTTGTGCCTTAAAGAAATTAATCCCCTTTCGCCAGCGCCGCACATTGTAATCCCGCATCCTGTCCATTTCGGAGTCAAACACGCGATCTGTCTCCTCTGCAATACGCACAAACCGTTCCTTGCGTTCCTTTGAATTTTGCAAAAGCTTCTCCTTTATCGGATTAACAGCAGTCGCCTTCGCATCTGCCTCGCTCATGTAATCCTTTGTGCTCTTCGTAATCCACGGGGCTGAAAGAGCACGCTTCTTCTTGTTGATCCCACGCAGTGTAGCGGAAGTCTGTTCGTACTGCACGCATCGCACCGCTAAAAAAATTGTACCGGAGTGGGAGCAACAACTACTGGCAATTGATACAACACGATGAAAAACAGAAAACCGAAGCGCCACGTTGGAACGGCCAAAAGGACTCCTCTGCGTCCATAGGCGTTGGATGCGAATCATTCACGACCAGCCACACTCTCTTTCTCCTCTGTTCCAGTGCCCGCGTATGTGAATATGACAATTTCGTTATGTCCACAATCTCCCTTTCACTCTCTCCCCTCCCCACAATACTATATATATATATATAATATCGACAGTAAGAAACAGTTGCCCGGTACCACCCCGCCAAAGCCGTGCAACCCCTTTGACGCTGCCGTCACCCCTCTACGCCTACAACGTATTCTGGTTCTCCGTGTCCTTCTTTTTGGCCGCAGTAGAGAGCAGGAAGAGTACGGGGTTCAAGCCTCCACCCAAAGCCGGTTACCCACACTCAAAAGACAACGATCACCAAAAATAATAATAATAATAATAATAATTAAAAACTAAAAAAAGGCAAAAAAAGAAAAGCGGAGACACGCGCAATAATACACACAAAAAAAAAAAATTCAAAAAAAAATTTTTCTCTTATCTCTTCCCTTGAACGAGAAAAGAATAAATGCTGGCCATCACTGATTTGTGGGAGCGCACCCGTTGTCTCAAAACCGCTGCGGTGACGGCATCACTTCTCCGACGATCTCCAACTCTGCCCCCTCAGCCGCCGCGTCGTCAAATGAAGGCGTTGCCACCGTGGCCTTGACCACCCGCTGTTTGTCTTTAAAGAATAGAGCCGCTGCGGACTCGGCAGTCTGAGTCGCGCGAATCAGCTGCTCCACCTGGTCCTCTTCCTCCTCCTCAGCGGGGATTGCGGATGCGTCATCATCCTCGACGTCATCCACATGATCCTCCCGTTCGTCGTTGCCGCCATTATCGTCAAAAAGCACATCCGGCCCGCCTGCGGCAACCACGCCATCATAATCATCATCAGCCTCCTCCGCGAGAATGTCATCCATTCGGCTCACGGCTCTTCCCTCGCCTCCGCCTGCACCGTTGCCGTGAGAAGCACGGACACTATCACTACTTTTGGTGTCACTATTTCCACCGATCTCGTCAGACGCATTGCGCTCACCCCCAGGGTCTGGCTCGGCAAGAGCGGCATTCATGACGGCATCCAAGCTCAAGTCACCCGTCCCTGCTGCTGCGGTGTTGTTTTCGTCGTCCAGCCACTCGAAGAATTCTTCCTCCACGGCACCCCGGCCGTCTCTGAGACTCGCCGTAGCGGGATGCGGCGCACTTTCGTCGCCCTTCTCGTCATAATCATCTCCTTCCATGCGACCAAACATTTCTTCCACAGTGGCAAGCGGCACCTGCTGTGCTGCTACCGCGACATCACACCACAGCGTCGCTGTTCCCGGTGATGAGTTTTTTGTCGATGTTGTTGTTCTTGTAACGGTGAGGCGATGGGTGTGACGCAGGGCGACGGTGAGCGATGCGGAGAAGAAGAGAACACGGCGCCACATCGTCGCTCCCGCCAAAGGGAGTGCACCCTCTAAGATAACTATCCGTCTATTTCTATATACTTTTTTCTTTTAATCTATCGGTCCCTTCCGTTAGCTCCAAATAGACACACAGGAACGTTTAGGTTTGCATCCACATCCGTTTCACAAAATAAACAGATTAAAGAAACAAACATATAACTTTTCAGATTTAAAAAAAAAAAAAATAGAGACAGCCTCCATCGCGTCATGGCAGAAACATTGCTTTTCCCCGTGTAATTCACGCGCAAGAAGCAACTCAACTGTATTTATCGTTGAGAGTTTTTCGCACAAACAAACACAGAAAAACACATGCTCTCTCTCCCTCTAGTATCCATGTTCCCTTCCCCTGTGAACAATTAAAAAGCCTCAACAAAAAAAATATGCACAAATGCAATGAACGATAAGGCGCGCACAGGCAAAAGAGAATTGTGCGCATGCGCAAAAAAAAAAAAATGTATATATCTACATTGAAGTGGCAGAAGTGTGGGACGTCCGCATTCTGTCAAAAAACATGATGGCTCGCATGAATTCATTTGTCGCCATGCCATCAAGTTCCAACAGATTTTCATATCCTCGGCGCCAGTCCGCATGCAGCGCCTCGCGTCCCTCACACTCCTCCGTCTCCAAAGTGCTGAAGGAATGAGCCACACAATTTTTTTGAATTGCTTCAGGCTCTGGTTGAATCCCGTGCGCGACAAGGATTCGTGGTCTTCCATTGTCCTCACTCGTCGAATTCGCGTAGTCCAACGTGTTCTTCGAATTGGTCATGCAACCACGTTGGGTCAAATGAGATGGCAGAAGTAAAAAAACACCGGAGTCGGCGTCGCTATCGCTATCGCTATCGCTATCGCCATCGCCATTTAATGAACGCCAGGAGTAGGCGTTTCCTTCCGCATCGCTGCTGCACGGCCTGCTTTCTCTCCTCTTCGGTGGCATGCGCCTTGTGCCAGTAAGCAGACGTGTGTATTGAAATTTATGAAGAAGTTGAAGGTCCATCCAGTGCCCCACCGCCTCGTGCTCAATGCCCTCCCGTTCGCTCTGCTCTTCAAGAAGAATCTCCTGCCGCTCTCCCATGGACACAATCCCCCACAGTACGGAAGTGTACTTCGGCTGTGCCTCCCTTTCTAGCTTTGCCCGCTCCTGCTGCTCCTGCTCAAAAAGGGCGGCAATCGCCGCCTCCCACGCAGTACGTAGACCGTCACGAAAGGCGTTGCAAACAGCTTCACGCTCGCGCTGCTCCATTCCTACACGAAGGCGAGAGTGCGACGATGATGACAACTCACGAGGAGACAGAACATTGGAGTCCGTGGTGGCTCCCGTGTCTAAAAGACTGCCGCAAATGTGAATTCTCCTCAACTCCTCCTCACGGATGATGTTCTCCATCTGCAGCAAGACGGCGTCAGAAACGTGTCGCGAGAGCCAACAATTACACCGCTGCTCTTCCAGATGCGCAATGCCGTATTCCTCCAATTGCATGATTTCTGCTCGCGCTTCCTGTTCCTCAAGACAAAGACCCGCCCTTGCCTCTTCCAGCCACGCATGCTCGCTGTCGAGAAAAGTCTCCACGTCACTCTGCTCAGGCCGCTCTATCATGCCTTCGGACCCAACTTCTTCAACGAACAGTTCATCGTATCGTTCGCCCTTCGTCCCGTTCCGGCAATTCAAAGATGAAACCACCCGCAAATCGTCCTCTTCATCTCGTTCTTCCCCTGCGCCGTTTGCCAATCCCAAACCCACTCTTCCAAGTCCATCAAAGAAGAAGCGGTCGTTGCTGGCCGAAAGAAATGTGTCCGATGTAGTCGTGCTGGGAGCTTGGCCACATACACACACATCCAAAGGATCGAAATGAGCATCCGCAGATCCCCACAAATCCCCTATTGGCAGTGATTCCCCTTTATGATGCCGCACCTTGTTTGCTGTCCCGTCATTCTTGCTTGCATCCTCCTTCAACTGAGGCCTCTCTGGGCCATCCCTTCTCTTCTCGCCAATCTGTCCATTTATTCCAACAAAGACTCGTCCTTTGCCCTCGGCAACCTGTGTCCCTCCATTTGCAGCCAGCATAAGTCGCCCTCTACAACCTTCCTCTACAATATCGATGAGGCTACGCGCCGCCATCTCCTCGTCAAAGATCAGAAGCTGCTGCTCCACAGCCACGCCATGGCAGCCGCCCCCTCGCTTTTTATCCCCCCACTGCCGCGCTGAAGGTTGTCCGGCGAAACCCTTGAGAATCCCCTTCTGCTGCACAAAATACTTTGAGGTTTGGCTGGCCCGTAAAGCGCTGAGAAAATTTAACGACTTCAATTGTGCAACAGGAAGTCTCAATTCTTTAAAAGATGCCGTCGTCCTCTCTTGTCGTTCCTGTTGCTTCAGACAATCGAGCAATGAAATCGCCTCTTCCTCAATCCGTTGCCTATTCTTCGCCTCTCGGTCTCTCAACAAGAGCAAAAACTCTACCAGTGCCCCAATGTCATCGCGACGCCTAGAAATTTTCCAGTCAACAAGGTCATCCCCAAGCGGGCGCCCATGCAAAAGCGATGCCAAGCGTATCGTTGGGCTCTTCGGTTGGCATACATGATGCGCATCACGGTTGCCATAGTTCGCCATCGTACAGTTTGCGTAGTGAAAATGTCTCGATGAGGGTGATGCAAAACGGGGTTGCTCACACGGCTTCGGTGCCAAAGGACGGGATGAAGAAAGAGAGGAACTCGGGGTTAATTTCGCAAAAAAGAGCTTCTCAGGGGCAGGCGACATCTTTGTCTGGTGTGGCGTCAAAGTTTGTGTGTAACGGGGCGGTGAATGCACAAGTCCAGGTGTCTGCGAGCCTACTCCCCAAGATAAAGTGCGGTACGTGCCCCTTTTGCACGAGACCGTCCCCGCGCATTTCGGAATGCCATTCCGACTGCATGGCGAAGCGGTCCGGTACGCACTGAGTGCAGAGACCTGGGGCCTTTGATATGACTTCCATGGCGGTTGTTGTCGTTCTTCAGATGCCGCCATCCAAGTCATCGCAACAGCCAAAAAAAAAAGAAAAATGTGTGGGAAAGACTGCGTCCGTTACCGTCCCTCTCCTAAACGGGCCCCTCTCCCCTCGTTTTTTTTAGGCTTGCCTCCCACAGGAGCTGCTTGGATGCGAAAAAAAATAAAAAATAAAAATTGAAATAAAAAAAAAAAAGATATATACTTATACTTATATATATATAATAGGAAAAATAGCCACAAAAAATGCACAACTCACACCCCACACAAAAACAAACAAACCAAAAACACCCAGCTATTCATCCATGCACATACCAATACCTGTGTATAAATGTCTACATGTAAACATTTAGCCCGAAAAGTTCTATTCTGCCTTATCCGACGTGGCACGTGATCAATAATAATAATAATAATAATAATAATAAACAGCACTGCGTCAATGGCAACTTCTCCACGGCCATCAAAATATGACAGCAGTGGCAAAACGAAGCGCAAGAGCTACAACAATCAATGACCTCTTGAAATAAACAAAAATAAGAGAGAACAGGAAACGTAAAGTAAAGCCCACAAACAGAGGGAGAAGCCGCCAAAAAAAAAAAAAGGGGGGGGTGGAGGTTGGGGCTCAAACACACACACACAGGAATATGTACAAGTAACAAACAAAAAGAAAAAAAAAAAAAAGAGAGGAGGGGAGGGAAAAGAAATTATAAATACATGTATGCGTAAAATGCAAAATAAGCACTTGATTCTGCATTCAAAAAAAGTCACGTCCATACTTTTTTGTCCCTGTCGCTTTCCCCTCCTCCCCCATTCCTCCAAAATTCTTCTTTAGTAATAATAATAAAAGCAGCACAAAAATAAAAACAAACGGAATAACCACAAAAAATAAGTACAGCGGAGGACAAGAATGGAAAGACACCGCAATGGACATCACAAAATTTGATAAAGGCCTTTGGGAGAAGCCGTCATGGCGGCAGAAAACATGGTCTCAGAGAGTGTGAAAACAATGCCCCTTCTCTCCCTTCGCCCCCCCAAACAAAAAAATCCTTCGCCTCCACCGTCGGTTTTTTTTTTTCTTCTCCTTTCTCATTTCAACTTCCGCCCTCTCCCCTTTTTTTATTCACAAAGGATCTATGATGCACTTCCCTGCCTCCTCTCTCCCTCTCACAACACCGAGAAACAAGAAAACAAAAACAAAAAAAGGAGAAGGCACACGCCAGCATGCACACATCTATACATTCCCCAGGGAATGTGCGTGTGTACGCAATGAAGTGTGGAGCAAAAAGAAGGAAAAAAAGAGAAAAAGATGCAGGGAGGGTAGGGGAGTTAGCTGTACAGTGGAGAGATCCAACAAACAAAAACAAAACAAAACAATGTGGAATAAATATATATAAAAAAGGAACAAAACAGAAATGTAGGAAAAAAAAGAAAGAAAGAGAAAGAGATTTTAAACACCGTGCAGTCATTTGGAGGTCTGCACGCGTGTCATTTGTATCCATCCTCTTCTTAATTCTCTATGTGTAAATCGGTAGGCGATGTGCGCAGAGCGCATTGGCATTGACAACGCACAGCCACATTATAAAATATACACAGAAGAATATTACACTAGAAACAGTAACAACTCGTTCAACTAAACCAGAAAAAAAAAAATCAATTACTTCCCGGCTCATATTGCGCCCGCAAGCCTCCTTTTTCACTCTATGACAGCTGCTATTCTTTCCATCCCCCCCGCCTGCGCTGTGAGCAGGCCCGAAGTGAACACGTGGAGGAGGCACCACGTGCAAAAGGTGGGCAGCTCAAGCCTGAGCAGACAAAAAAAAAAACACGGCCAGCATGGCGGCCAGAACACTTGCGCAGACAAGCATCAAAAGGGGGGACAAGGGAAAGACGGAAGCACACACTGGGATAAAAACCAAAAGGTCCACACACACAGAAAAAAAAAAAGTGTACTTGACAAGTGCGGGCCGCACTAAAATCGCCTCAAAACGAGACGGTGAAACGAGATAAATCCCTCATTGTCCAACCCGCCCGCCCTCTCAACTCACCACTCACGCAGCGGTGCGAAACCCGCAGTTGCGGCGGTGGTGACATTCCCTGAAGGGGCACATCATTTGGTGACCCCCCACAAACATGCCCTGCGCGCCAACGAAACACAACAACCCCGGCCAATCCCACTCTTCTCTCATCCCCTTTCGATCTCGTCCACCTCATGTTTTATTTCATTTTCCTTTTTTTTTACGCAAAGAAGGCTAGAATTGCGCGGAGCACAAAACTCCTCTCAACTCTTCATTTGCCGCGACCAGTGCATTTCACTCTTCGCCGTCTTCGCACATTTTTTTTTTTTCTCTCTCCCTCGCAGTCATCACCCGCCGCGCAAAACGAGAGTATATATATACATATAGCATGCACGTGCCAGTACATCCGTAGAAACACATGAGGGGGACTGCTGAGAGCAGAAAAAAAAAAAAAAAAAAAAGAAAGCAAAGCTTCAATCAAAACTGCGCATATGTGTAAAAAAACACAACATAATGAAAAAAGAGAAAAAAGAAAAAAGAGATAGAAGGGAAAAAAAATAACATAAACAATTACTATAAACTCGCCCACAGCACATTCCCAAGAAAATAATTTCGTGGATGTATATTTGTTCCAAGAAACACATCCTGCACGCTCCGCCACATTGTCTCATTCCCCTGTACACCACAGAAACGGGCGAAAATAGTGGGAAAGACAGTCATCGTCGATCCATTTCACAGCTGCTTTTCTTTTTTGTCTGCACTTTTCTGTCTCCTTCATTCACCGCAGTTTGCATCACTCAAATTAGAGAGGTGCCCTATGCGGTCCAGGGATAACACAGAACACAATTTTTTTTTTTTTTTAAAGATGTTTTCAGCGAAGTTCACACCGAACACCACGTACCGGTGACTTCAATTTAAAGGCTCGCCATATACGTAACTTCATTTCGCTCCCGGCGGTGGCGAGAAGCGAGTTGTCGGGAGAAAGTGCCATGTAAAGCGAGGCAATGTGTGGACCGACAAACCCACTCAACCGCTCCAACCTGGCGCCGCCATCCTTCAGCTGAAACAATTGCAGAAGCCCCGCTCCTCGCGTGGACTCACGGAAGAGAGTCATGTGTGGCAACGGCGGTCGTGCCCTCGTCGCTTCAATACGATAAATAAAACGACGTGCCAGTGCTGGAGAAAGCCCAAGTGTCATGCCGCCTGCACCGTTGCCATTCATGCGGTTATGGCCTCCTCGTCCCGAGACACCTATGGGAAGGTGTTGGCCGACGGATGGAGCTTGGGGAAGACCCTCTTCTTCACTGGAGGAGCCGGACGAGGCCCAGTCTTCGGGGCCACCAAAGCCGCCAACAGTGATATTATCAGCGACGCGATGCACGTTCCCATCTACGACGGGCGGCACCCCAATTTTCTCA